CTAAGGGTTCACCTAAGAGTATGGGATTGACTGTGAGGAGACTTTTGCTCTTGTTGCTAGACTTACCTCTGTCAGATCTTTACTTGCAGTTGCTGCTATCCAACGTTGGGAACTTTTTCAAATGGATGTTAAAAACGCCTTCCTTAACGGTGATCTTACTAAATAAGTTTACATGCAGCCTCCACTTGGCTATGAGCATCCTCCACATAAAGTTTTTCATCTTCATCGCGCACTTTATGGGCTCAAACAGGCTCCTCGAGCTTGGTTTGAGAAATTTCAATAAGTGGTATCTTAACAAGGCTTTCTTTCTAGCCTATATGATTCTGCACTATTTCTTTGCACTACTGGGGTAGGTACTATCCTTTTTCTTCTCTATGTAGACGATATGATTATTATTGGTGATGATATTGCTGGTATTCAAGATCTTCAAACTTTTCCTGGTCAGAATTTTGAGATAAAGGATTTGGGACATCTATTTACTTCCTTGGCCTTGAAGTTACTTCAAATCAGGATGGTAATTATCTCACTCACGAAAAATATGCCTCTGATTTACTTTCCAAAGTTAGGTTGACAGACAGCAAGATAGCCACTGGTCCACTTGAGTATAATACTAAGCTTTTGGCCACTGACGATTCTCCACTTGGTAGTCTCATTTATCTTCCTATCACTAGGCCTGACATTTCATATGTTGTTCATCTATTCATTCAGTTTATGAGTGCACCTCGATCTACCCATTTTGCTGCGGTTCTTCAAATTCTACGCTATATCAAGGGTACTCTGTTTCATGGTCTGCACTTCTCATCCCACTCCTCTCTAGAGCTACGGGCCTATTTTGATGCAGATTGGGCTGGTGATCCTACTGATCGTCGCTCCACCACTGGTTATTGTTTCTTACTTGGTACTTCTTTGATTTCATGGCATGGTAAGAAACAGTCTGTTGTTGCCCATTCTAGCACTGAGGCTGAGTATCGCGCTCTTGCTGATACAACATTTGAACTTTTGTGGTTACGTTGGCTTCTAAAAGATATGGGTGTTCCTCAATCAATAAGTTCTCCTCTTTACTGTGATAATCGTAGTGCCATCCAGATTGCGCATAATGATGTGTTTCATGAACCTACTAAACATATTGAGATTGATTATCACTTCACCTGCCACTATCTTCAATAGGGTGTCCTCCAATTACATTCAGTTTCTTTGGAAGATAATCTTGCTGATATTTTTACGAAATCCTATCCACTTGGTCGACTTGGTGATCTTGTTTCCAAACTCTAGTTGACTTCGCCGCTAAGAGTTTGAGGGGGGATGTTAGTATATATTAGTATCTTATAATATCCCTAAAATATATGATTTTTCCTGTAATTATGCTATGATTTCCTGTAATTATGCTAGGCTAGAATCTTTCCATAAGTGTATTTCCTTATTAACTTTGGCCTTCTCCACTATATATAGAGGCCTCATTTGTATAGTTTAAAATACACAGAAATGTACAATCATATGATTCCTCAAAACTCTCTTTATTTTAACATTTGTGACTTTGACAATTCAGTCATTTAGCTCATTAGTAACAAAAGAATACGTAAACCACCGCAAGGTGGCCTGATGATAAAAGGGCAAAGGGCGATCTAACATGGTCTCCTAAATTCGAGCCTCCTTGATGTTAAAAAAAGCAAGAGAACAATCTAACATAGTCTCCCGAGTTCGAGTCCCTACGGTTGCTAATAGGAGAGACCATTGGAGCTCTTACTCAGCTGGTAGTTTCATGATAACACAATGAACAACCACAGTCTTCAACCATGCAATCTTCTAGTTTTTCACAACACAACCCCACTTCTGGACTTAGCCACAACCAACTTGTACATCCAGCTTCTAGTCAGTTTGTGAATTCAGCACAAAGTCAATTTGTGAATGCTGTACCAAGTCAATTTGTAAATCCAGCACCATAGCCTACCTTTTACTCTTCTCAATTTGCTAAAAATAGAGGAAGAGGACGAGAAGCTGGAAGAGGTAGGCTTATCTGCCAAGTCTGGGGTAAAACAAGGCATTTAACTCTAAATTGTTATCATAGATTCGTACAAGCTTTACCGGAGGAAACAACTCCATGATGCAATCTAATTTTGCTCCTGGTTACTCCGCCAGACCACCAGTTGGTTTTCCAGGATTGTTGCATTCCTCTCCAAATTCCCACCAACCTCCTTACAATCCTACATTAATGACTTCACCAGCTGGATTTCACTCAAGTCCAATGTCTACCTCAATTGGTTATTCTGGAGCACCATTTCACAATAACCCTAGAGGCCAAAACTCTACTCAAGTCAATCAAGTTAGTGCTCTAGCGGGATCTAATTCAGCAATCTCGGGACAACCTCAAATGATTCATGATCCTGGCACATCATGAAACGCTCATAATCAGGTGATTTTTCACAAAATCAGCCATCGCATTATGATAATCCCACTGCTAATTATGTTGTAGTATCCTCCACAGTCCAGGATGCCTCTTGGTATATGGATTCAGGCCCCACAGATCATGTGATAGCAAATCTCTCTCAGCTCACTGACAACTCCACTTACTCAGGCAGCGAGCAGCTTCAAGTTGGGAATGGTGAGCTTCTAACTATATCTCACACTGGCTATACCTCTTTACCATGTTATTTTAGGTCTCTTTATCTTAAAAATGTCTTATGTGTTCCCCATATTACCAAAAATATGCTTAATATATCTAAATTTACTAGAGACAGCAATGTAATTGTTGAATTTTTTGCTGACCATTGTGTTGTTAAGGACAAACAATCCAAAGTGGTTCTTCTTCAAGGAAGGCTTAAAGATGGTCTTTATCAACTTCCAACTCCAATCACTCCATAGTCCAACCTGCCTGCTGTTTTTTCTCAATCCAATGTCTCTGTTTTTCATTCTTCAGCTCAACTTCCTAGTCTACCACAATCCATAAAGCCTTTGTTTTCTTCAGTACTAAAAATAATGTCAATATTGGTTGTGTGCCTAAGAATAATGATGTGTTTTCAAATTTTCCTGCACTTGTTTCTTCTTGTAACACTACTAATACTGATAATAATAAAAGTGTTCAATCCTTCTCTACTACCAAAACTAGTGGAATGTTATGGCACACACGTTTGGGTCATCCTAATGCATCAGTTCTTGCCAAAATCTTACATCTTTTACAATTAAATCACACCACCTCACACACCTTTGATTCTACTCAGCATGCTAATTCGGCAAGCTACATCAGTCCACCTTTCCTAGGACAGATTCAAGAGCCTCTCAACCTTTAGAATTAATTCACTCAGACCTTTGGGGTCTATCTCCTATCCCATCCCCTAAAGGCTTCAAATACTACATTTAGTTCGTAGATGGCTACAACAGATTCACCTGGGTTTTTCCTTTGAAAAAAAAATCTGAAACACAACTCATATTCAAAGGCACCACTGATTTTGTAATTCCATTGGCAAGCTTGTAAGAGACTTCTTCACTATCTTAAAGGCACCACTGATTTTGTAATTCAATACACTAAGATTCAGCGATTTCATCTTGAATGTTTCACTGATGCCGATTGGGCAGGGGACATCCAAGATAGACGATCGACGAGGGGGTGTTGTTTATTCCTCAGCCCCAACCTCTTGTAATGGAGCTCTAAAAAGCAGAAAGTAGTGTCTTTGTCATCTACTGAGGCCAAGTATAGAGCCCTTGCTCAGGGAGCCATAAAAATTGCTTGGTTTCGCAGCTTGTTCTTTGAAATTGGTCTAAACCTTCCTGAAATACTTGTCATCTGGTGTGATAACAAGAGTGCAGGTTCTCTTGCATCCAATCCGGTCTACCATGGTCGAACCAAGCACATTGAATTAGATGCCCACTATATTCGAGAACAAGTTGCTGTCAACAACTTAAAGGTTCAATATGTCCTTACAGAACTTCAGACTGCTGACATTTTTGCCAAGTATCTGTCCACTTCCAGGGTTGAGTATCTTCAAGCAAAACTTAGAATATTTTCATCTCCTATAAAAGTTTCTTCTCTTGAACAAAATGCATCTTTCCCTTCTAAAGTGTTGGAGCATCAGGATGATTTTACAGTTGTATCAGGATGAGTTTATCAGCATTAATCTTGTCGAAATATCACAGTTGATCTTGATGAAATGAGTATCAGTTTCTTAAGTCTGTAAAGTGCAGGAGCATCAGGATGATTTTACAGTTGTATCAGGATGAGCTTATCAGCATTAATCTTGTTGAAATATCACAAATGACTTTGATGAAATAAGTATCAGTTTCTTAAGTTTGTAAAGTATTGAGCATCAGGTTGATTTTACAGTAGTATAAGTATCAGGTTGAGCATCAGTATTCAGTGGTTCCAAGGTTCTAGTCAGGTTCAATTTGCTATCCAGTCAGATTTAGTTTGTTACAGTTGAAAGCATCAGTTTCAGTTTGCTTCAGTTTGGCTAAAATAGCATCGGTATCAGATTGACTTGTTGAAAGCATCAGTTTCAATTAGCATCAGTTTCAGTTTGCTTCCGTTTGGCTGAAAATAGCATCAGTATCAGATTGACTTGTTGTAACAGCTTCAGTATCAGGCATTAGTTTCAGTTTGCTTCAGTTTGGCTGAAATAGCATCAGTATCAGAATTCACCAAAGTGACTCTTAGTATTTCTCAATCCTCCGCTCCGCTTACGAGAGGATGTTAGGAAAAGAGTCGAGTAAGAGTCAGAGCTGTCCAGCTTAAGGGAGGATGTTAGTAAAGAATTAGAGTGAGTTGAGTTAGTCAATCTGCCGTTTACTTTCAGTTTGTTTTAACAGTTAGTTACTGTTATCTCAGCACTATAAAAGTGCCATTTACTGTACCATTTTGTTTTAAGCAAATCAATAAAGAATTCTTGCCTCTTCTTTTACGTTTTCTCTCTGTTCCAGCTCACAATTGTGCGTATAATTGATTTAATATCAACAGAATATACAAATATCTTTGATTGATGTACAAGTATAGAGTATCAAAATTTTGTAATCTAATTGTTGAGGATGTTGAGAAGAGAGACTCTAGTTTTGATCAGACGCCTGCTCAAGGACTCAAGTCCATCTTCAAAATCTTGAATGCTTGACTCCAATTCCTTAAGCTGGTTTTGAATGTTATCGGATTTGCTTGTCTTGTGAGCAATGATGGTAGACAATTCAGCATCCAAATTTTCAAACTCATTAATTTCTGTTTCTTCACCTGCTACCTTTTCTGAGTGGATTAGCTTGGAAACTACTGACCAGCTGCTTAGCTTTGATGGAACCTTTGGCCCTGAGATAAGGGACAACAAGGATTCGATCACATTGAAAGTGACTGCTTCAACCTCTCTTAATATGCAAATTGTGGCGTTTGACTCATCTTTCTCACAGATTGGAGAGATTCTTTGGTTTTTCATGGCTTTCAAATTCTTCAAGGCCTTTTGGATGGTCATTTTTACTGTCTTCCTGGAGGTCAAGTATTTCTTAACCTNACGATAAACTTATAGCGTTTAAGTTATAGTCATTTAGTAAAGAGTTTCATAATTATTTAATTCATTCCAAACTTAAAATAGTATTTTAATTCATTCCCGCCGCAAAATTCCCACAACTTTGTTGTCATTCAAATAAAGCACTTGCAGATTGCAACAATTCCCAATACAATCTGGAATGGGACTTGTTAAATTGTTACCATATAACCATAAAATCACACTCTCACATATTTCACAAACATTCCAAGTGTTAACCAAAAAAGGTCAAACTTCACTTTAGCAAAAAGATCCAAACCGCAGAAACTATATGCAGTGCAAGCTCAAAGCCAAATTGACGCCAACTTTGATCACTCCTTTATCATCTTCTAACGGCATGCAAGTGGAAAAACAACTTGCACTACAAGTTGCAAAACCAGACACAAGTTAGCATGCAAGTGGAAACGCAAGTTGTAGATCAAACGAACCAAAACTCTTTATATACTTAGTTAGTTAATGATCGAACCGTGGAGAAGAATAGTCTACATTATAAATTTTGTAATATTTCCTGTTTACAGTATGAGAAAATGAAAATATAATAGTGATATGTTTTCTTCTTCCTCTTCTCACACTTTCCTCACCTCTTTCTCTCTCTACTGTGTTGAAAATTTGGCATGGTATCAGAGCTGCCTTGACACACATCAGTTGCAAATCCAAGTACGCCTTCACCTTTCGGTCTTGCTTCGACTGAGAAAATGACAAACTCTTTCTCATCCACAACTATGAACAACACCTTCCCCACCATCACTGTGAAGCCATGAGAGAGGAACTACGCGTATTGGAAGTCTCAAGTCTTCCCAGTTCTAAAAGCTTATGAGTTAGAAAGCTTTGTCACAGGTGAGAAACCATGTCCCTCTTCCTTTATTTCGTCATCAACCGATGAATCTAAGAAAGTAATCAATTCTAAACATATCATGTGGAAGAAAATAGATCAATTTCTATTTAGCTGGTTAATCTCATCCATATCCAAAACTATGTTTAGGCATGTAGCAAATTGAGAGACAGCCTATGATATATGGCATACCTTAGAGATGCATTTCTTAACTAATTCTAAAGCTAGAGTGTTGCACTTAAGAAACTGGTTGCAAACCACTAAGAAAGAGAATTCTAGCATAAACGAATAAGTACTAAAGATGAAAGAGATCGCTGGTTTTCTTACTGCTAGTGGAGTAACCATAAATGATGAAGACTTGCTATTATATATCCTTGATGGCCTTGGCCCTGAATATGATGCCATGGTAGCAACTTTAATGTCAAGGAGAAGTGAAGTATCTCTACAAGAAGCTCAATTCCTACTACACAAACATGAAGGTTAGAAAAACAACACGCAGCCAATATAGGCTTTCATGAAGCTGCTGCATTCCTAGCAGCTAAACAATCATTTTCTTCATCCCAAAACATGCCACTACAAAATAGCTCAGAGTAACCAACACAACATCTCACTTAATCTCTACCTCCAAACCAAAATGAACACAAAAACACCTATCAAATTGGTCAAAATTTCCGGAATTATAATCCAAGTTTTGGCAGAGGCAGAGGCAAGAATTTTTATAAGCCAAATTATTTTGTCAATTGTGTTGGAAAACTGGTCACATGGCCCTTCAATGTTACCATCGGTTTGACACTAATTTTTAAGGGAATCAAAATCATAAACCTCACTTTGGAATGGACTACAATATGACACAGCAATCTGCACAAATGACACCTCCTGCTCAAGCCTATTTTGTAAGCACACAACATCCATATGCCAGCCGTGCTCCAAATCAGTTTCCTTATATCTCCACACGTATAAGTCACAATCCAGTACAGCTTCAAAACTTAGCACTAGCAAATCAGCCTTAGTACACCTATTCAACCTTTCATGCTGATCAAACATAGTCACCTGATGAACCTTCGGGAGAAACACAAATGAAAAGCCACTCAGCTGAAAAATCAACATCTCAAACAGCCACTCCATTCACCATAGCAAATCCTACTTGGTATATTGATTCAGGAGCAACTTACCATATCACCCCAAATTTACAGAATCTTTCCTTCAAAAATCAATACAATGGTTCAGAGTATCTTCAAGTGGGCTATGGTCAATGTCTAGGCATTTCTCACACAGGTTTGACTCTTTTTCCTTCTTCTTGCAAAAACAAGTCTTTACAACTTAAAAATATTCTGTGTACCTAAAGTAACAAAAAATCTTCTAAGTATTTCAAAGATTACACGTGACAATAATGTGGCTGTTGAATTTTTTGTGGATGAATGTGTTGTTAAGGACAAGACATCACAGGTGATTCTACTTAAAGGCTATGTACATAATGGATTTATCAGCTTGACATTCTAACTGACTTCCACAATCAAAAAGCCGAGTCCTCTACAACATTATCTCCACAACTGCAAGTCTCTCAGGTGTTCCTTTATTCAGTAGACTCCTCCATCAGTTCAAAGTCTGCTACATCTGCCACTGCAGATTTGAATAACTCATCTCATCCTAGTACTTCATGTCCAGTTACTACTACAACAAATAATGAATCTTTACATTCAGCTATTGATAAAGTGGGAGAGTTGTGGCATAGAAGACTTGGTCATCCTCATTCTTCTGTACTTAAAACTCTTGTTGCAAATTTGAATGTTAAAGATCATAGCTTAAATAGAATTAGTTTTTGTGAAGCATGTCAGTATGGGAAGCTTCATCAAGGTCATTTTCCTTCTTCCAACTCTCAAACAAATACGCCCTTTGAGCTTGTTTTTGCAGATGTTTGGGGACCTACCCCTTTTAGTTCAACTACTAGTTATAGATATTACTTACTCTTGGTTGATGACTACACTAGGTACTCTTGGATCTATCCAATGAAGCTCAAATTTGAAGTTAACAATATAATACAACAACTCGTACAACTAGTTACTCAACAATTTGACAAAAAGATAAAGACATTTCAATCAGATTGGGGTGGAGAGTTTCATTCTTTAGTCATATATTTTGCTCAACAAGGGGTACATTTTAGGCATCCATGCCCTCACACACACAAAGAAAATGGTAAAATAGAATGCAAACATAGGCATGTGACCGAAACGGGATTAACATTGTTGGCCCAAGCTTCCATGCCACTTGAATATTAGTGGTTCTACATAATCAAAATCCTTTTCAAGGGCTTCTGCATAAGTGCCCGAACTACCAGGCTATTTGGATCTTTGGGTGCCAATGTTTTCCTTTCATCAGACCCAACAAAAAACATAAGTTTGCCTTCCATTCTGAGCAATGTGTTCTCTTGGGGTATAGCTCACATCATAAGGGATATTTGGGTCTTAATGCTCATGGCAAGGTCTACACTGTTCAGAGTGTAAAGTTTAATAAGGAAGTCTTCCCTTTTGCTCATGATTTCGCTTTTACACCTACTCCCACCGAAACCATAAATTGTCCGCAGTTTTCTCAGTCTTGGAAAATTCCAGTTGACATTTCTTCTCTAAAACAGCCTATGTAAGATTCCTCTCGATTTTCATCATCCTCCACTACGTCTCCTACTCTAAATCCTATTACCTCCATAACACCTATCAACACTTCCCCGTAACCTCTCTCATTTCAATTGGAGGTTGATCTTTGGGGTTATCATACTACAGCACCTTCATCCTCTCTTCCACCATCTGACCCTTCTACTCAAAATATCCATCCCATGACAACCAGACAGAAAACAAAAGCCCTCATCAATTATGTTCTTCCTGAAATTCATGATAGCCGAGTTTGATGCACTACATGTTAGTAATTAATGTATCATACACAGCAGAAAAACAAAAATTCAATCGATAAATCAACTACCTTTCTTTGCCAAGATCCGAGTATAGATTATACCATTTACATGTTTATAAACAAAATCTATATAAAGTATATCCATTAAAGGATTAGAATACTTATGTACGTTTGGAGGCTCGTCCGAATATCTCTGACTTCGGACAAGAACACTGTTCATAGTTACTGTTCACAGTTACTATTTACCATCTACTATTCACAGTACTGTTCACGCTTCTGTTCACATGATTTTTCGCCAATCGATCCAAAGTAGAATCGTACTCACGGAAGTCCACACGAAGATAATCCGCAGAACCCCTGATTATTTCGCTAGAACAATCAAGGGCTTCAAGAATCAAGGAAGAAGAACAAGAAAAGTTTTCTTCTTGAGAGAGAAAGAGATAGGGTGGCTAGGGTTTTTTAATTGAATGAATAATTCTCTTATGTTTTAATTTTAAGTTGCACTTACATAATGCAACAATTAAAACCCTATTCCACTTTGGAATAGCCATGGGCTCCAACCCTAGTTTACCCTTGCAACCAAACACACCCTTTATAGTATTTTAATTAATTATTATTATTATAATTAAAATCAATTAATATATAATAATATATTAATATTTAATTAATAATAATAATTCACTTAAATATATACAGAGATATATTTAAATATAATCTCACTAATTTAATTTTAATATTAAAATTAAATACATGCAACAACCTCAGCAAATTTAATTGCACTGTGAGATTACCAAAATACCCTTTCATCCTAAAAGACAAAAATAACCTTCTCACAAATTGATTCTTAAATTATCTTCTAAGTGTGTGACCCGTAGGCTCCTCATTATATCGGTAGTGTGTAGTATCGCGATTAACATCAATTAATCGTCTTACTACACCCAGACCAAGATTGGCCTCTAGCAAGGCATCATGGCCACCTGATAGATTCGGATTCAATGAAACCGCAGCCTGTCAATGATATGGTTACCGTGTAATCAAATCCTTTCATCAACTGTTATTTCATCGAGACTAAGGTATAAAGATAGTGTTAACCTCAGATATCCTCAATATGTTTGTATTCAGTTACTGTACCAATGACAAGAATATTAAATTGGATTGAGCATCAACTCAATCCCACTATGGCCACATATTTAGT